CTACCTACTAATGAAAGAGGGTAATTCCAGTGGTGAAAGCCACGGATCTTAACATGGCCAGATGTGCATAAATTGAAACTCAATAGTCTCAGTAAAAAAAGTGAATGAAAGTGGGAAAGCAGTAAATCCAGAAGAGAAGTGTCAGAAAAATCTGATGTAGATTATTAGTCAGTTAATTCATTAGTTTATGTACAAAAAAGAAGTCAGCGATTTTTGACAAGTGATTCATCATTTTTCTTCTTTTTTCAAGCACCTGCCAAATATTTGCTGCCTCCAACTTCTCAAATGTCAGAATTTTAAGTTATGGCTGTTAATAATCAGTTTCACCTCTAATATGATTTAGTGCGTTCCTTCCCTAATTGCCATTTTTTCATCCTCTGCTTTTTTCAAGTGTTGGAGAATGAACTGCAGGCTCGGACTGACCAGATCTTCAACCATTTAGAACGTCTCGAGATTCTGGCCAGCAAGGAGCCAACAAACCGCCGTCAGAACGCCAAATTGTGAGTTTGGAGCGAGTCAATTGATGGTGACCTTAAAGCCCCAGAGCTGGCAGGGCGCGCCATATCTCATAAAGGCACAGGGAGGGTGTAGAGGATGAGACAGGCAGCCCCGGTCCTGCCCTGTGGCGACGTGGCTCTATGAAAACATTTCCTCAGAAGCCCCGTCATCACCAGCATTCCTGCTGCATTGGGCAAAGATTCATTTCTGAGCTGGGTAAACAGGCCTTAGGGGACACAGACCATCCCGTCCTACAGCTCCCCTCTGATCTCAGCGGAGCTGTAGAGGGGCCTGAGTGAAGCTCAGGTGGGGGAGACTGAGAGAGACCCTTTAACACCAGCTGCAAGAGGTTTCAGGGGAAAAAAATGTTCTCATCAACCTGAGCATTTGTGAACAGTGAGAATTAAGATGTGGTGCATTGAGCAGATGGAGGGGGGGGGGGGGTTGTCATGGTTCCTGCAGAGTTTAAAAGAGACCTTTTTTTTATCAGCAGTCAGAACATGATTCTCATCATCATATCGGTCAAAGAATGACAGAAAACCAACAGGGACATTGAGGCCTGCAATTATTTACTAAGTAAATACATTATAGACGTTTGAATCACATTATTGACACTGCTTACCACCTGTAGAACAACAACACGGATAATAATAATAATAATAATGGCATTTGGTCTTTATTGACAGGACAGTAAGTGTGAAATTTGAGAGAAACACAGCACAGGGCTGTCAGAACTGAGCTCTGCTGGGGGACTCAAGCCTCCACATGTGTGATGCCTGCGTTAAATACTTATCAATAATTAACGGAATGATTTGAACAGATAAGCAGCAGAAAATGGATGGATTCAGTAATAAATGGATTGAGTTTTTAGTAAAATGACCAATAACAAGACAAGGAGCTTCCTATCTACTGTAGCTAAAGATCCATAATCTGCCTGCAGTACAGTCTCCTGTTGAACACAATCATATTTTTAGTTTATAGGTGTTAAACATCTCCCAAAGGCTGTGCAAGTGGAACTTACAAAATCTAAATACCCTTTCCAGGCTGTTTTAAAAGGAACTGAACTCATTGCTTTGTAAGACTCACAGATCTGTAATGTATTCTTTTCTTTTCCTCAGACGAGTGGACCAGCTCAAATACGATGTTCAACACCTCCGCACTGCTCTGGAAAATTTCCAGCACCGACGCTACACCAGAGAGGCCCAGGAGAGAGAGAGGGAGGAGCTCATGAGCCGGACCTTCACGACCAACGTACGTCAAATGTACCTCAGAACAGACTGGGATGTTAAAAGTGACAATTGAAAAAAACAAGCTCAGATTGCAGCTAGGGAAGTTAGAAACACCTTAACTTGGTACAAACGTCTTGGTGTTGAGCTGAATAAAGTGGAATTAAAATGTCCTTGTTCTCAATAGGACGCTGATACCTCCATCCCCATTGACGAGACCCTACAGTTTAACTCCAATTTGCACAACGCACACAGAGGCATGGACGACCTCCTGGGCAGCGGCAGCAGCATCCTCAACGGTCTCAGAGATCAGAGATCCACGTTGAAGGTGCATACTTATGATTTATACATATATAAATATATATATATCAGGATATTGAATGTGATGGATGGTGATATGACCCAGTTTCTGGTGTCCACCCTGATCACAACAGTCTCATTGTGCGTGCGCTCAGCTGGAGGGTGAGTCCTTGTTCCCAGGGAGGAGATGGTCTTCCTGGTTTTGCTTCAGGCCTCTGTCTTATCAGGGTGTGTCTGCTGATCAGCACTCACGGCCTGGTTGTCTAGCCATGAGAAACTTCTGACGGAGTGGCGCGTCAGGGAGGGCGTAGGCCCTCAAACGTCTCCCTAAATCCGATGAATTGGCAAAGATAATTATGGTGTCGTCATGTAATGCCTTTGTCTTCTAAAACAATGTGTATGTGTGTTTTTGGCTGTTGTATCCTAACCTAACACGTGATCGTTTGATTTTGTCTCCACACAGGGGACCCATAAAAAGATACTGGACGTGGCCAACATGTTAGGGCTGTCAAACACAGTGATGAGACTCATAGAAAGGCGAGCCACCCAAGATAAGTTAATCATGATCGGAGGAATGCTGCTGACCTGCATCTTCATATTCCTGGTGATCAGATACCTGGGCTGACCATCGTTCGTCAATAAGTTGTGGACATTTCTGCAGCGTATCGTCCCTCATGATATGAAACGTGGCAGAGCTCATTTTTAGAATCAAAATAAAGTAATTTTTGTATAAATTGTGCCATTTTAACAGTATTTTATTCCACGTGAAGCTCCGAGAGGACAGTGGACTTTCTGCTGCTTTCCTCAGATTACTGCCACAACCTTAACTATTTTTATTTAATCATAACCACTCTGAAACTGTAAATCACTTGTGACAGTACAAAAACAGTTTCTTAAAAACATGCTTTTGCGTCAAGTGAAAAACAGTTTTTGTTCCTGTTATTATATTGGGAGTGTCATTCTGCAATGGAAAGCACAGTTCAATAGAGAAATAGAAATATAAGTGTGGAAACACTCATAATCCTCCATATTTCTTTACATCGCAACTCAAGAAAACTCCCTGGAGAATCATTTTCTGTTTTAATGTCTCACTAATGAAGTCAAATGCAACAATCCTGCAGTGAATTCTTGTCATGAAGGTTATAATATTTGGTTAATGATGAAATGGTCTTTTAAAGGTGTTGATTGGAACTTTATGATCATTTTTTAGGATATAGTTTGTGTTGTGTCTGAACAGTATTGCATCACACAAAGGTGTTTGTGTTATTAAGCCTTCCCTCATTAACATATGGTGATTACTGCCACAACAGTTCAAACTACAGCCTCCAAAACTATCGTACAGTTTAATTAACGAAACAGTTTCAAGTAGAAGGGCGTTCAGAGAATCCATGAAAGAAAAGTTCCTGGATCAGCTCCAGAATTTAATGGGTTTTTCCTTGCGTCATTCCCCAACCCCCACAATTTTATGGAAATAGGTTCAGTTGTTTGAGTAATCTTGCTGACATAAACATAAACAGCAATGGAAACACAACCTCCTTGGCAGAGGTTACAAAAATGAAACATGACATTCATGAAGTTAAGATTCTCTGCAGGACTGATGCATCCGACTGTATTTAGTTGAGCTGAGTGAACCTAATCAAGTGGCAACTGTATCTTAAGCACCAGATGGTCACAAACATCTGTTGAGAAAAGTGATGGAAGCAGATGTTATTTTATAATTGTTATAAACCTTCTCTTGGATTCATGTCTGTGTCTAGGCTCACTATGTGAGTCAGGTCATTCTCTTAATAGAATAAAACATGTTTCATTTCCTTTGAATCTAATTAATGTGCTATTGACATTTGTTATTTACAGTGGCGTTTTCTTTTTCAGGGTAAGAAACATTATGAGAAACCAGGGGGTGTGAACGCCAGTGTGCGCACATGCTGTGGATTTACTGCTTTCACACGTCTATTTGAGGAAACTAGGGCACCATCTAGTGTTTCATATTCAACACTGACCTCTGCAGGGACTATGACCAAGATGAGGTCTGAGTTATATGTGACAAATGTCTCATCCCTCACTCCCAGTTTTGAGACTGGAGACACATTTACATGAGCACCGACATTTTGATATTAACCCGATTAACAACATGCTGGATAAGAAACTGCCATGTAAACAGTATTTTCTGATTAAGGTCGTACTCTGAACAAGTATTAATCTAGGAAATGTGGAGTACTCTACACTTTAGTCGCATTATATAGACATGTATACGTCTTATTCACATTATAACTTCCTGTTGTAGTTTTTACAGCAGTTACCAACTCCTTGACAACACGTACTCTAGGTTCGAGTGTGAACAAGTGGCATGATATACAGGAATATGAATGGGGTATTGTACTAGCAACTCATGCAAATATCATCAAATCCTCTTATTTAGAATGAGGTCAGTAGCTGGATCATGTAAACATAGTCAGTTTGTATTTCATTTATCTATAATATGGAAAAACAACACATGAACTCAATGTTTTATTTGCTGAAACAGAGTAAGTCTTTAAAAAATACAGCGTTGCTACTGTTTGACAGATCACCATCCTTTTCCGTCCCAGCCCGTCTCAACTGAGGGGGTAATTTAGAAATAACCTTGGTAAAAGACATGGCGTCTATTTCTATCCAAATTGTTATCCTGCCCCCCCCCTCCCATCCCAACAGCAGTTTCAAACCTCTAGAATGTTAACAGGTTAATCTACAGCAGTTTTATTTACAAAATTACACCAAAGGAAAGAAAAACACAGCTCTTCTTTTGAAGAGCATTTTGGAAAATAATTTAAAAACAGAAAAATACAGTTATTGCAGTATACTACAATCTTATTGTTAAATGATGCAAACGCACCATTTTGATGTACAGATTTCAGTGCAATTAATTCAGGTGTACCCTCACCACAGAGAACATGAGCTTTACCTCCGAGCATTAGGGATATTAAAAACCCCTGCGTTCATTTACCCCTTGAGGGAGGGGGGGTCTTAAATGACATTTCATGCTGATTTGGACATCCTGATCGTATAATCACAAATGGTCATCATTGGTGGGATTCTTCACATTACACACTGATATATGTACAAGTTACTGCATTACAAATTATTTAAAGACCAGGGATCCAATAGAAAGCGAATAGTCGTATGAGAACAGAAAAAGCATCATCACTATGAAAATTACATTACAGACTAAGCTGTTTGACCTCCTCCGATTCCTCCTCTGACCTATCTGCTTATAGCTTCAGCCATTACATCTCTCTTTGGCTACCAATATAAGCAAAAACTGTGATAATATGTGTATATGGAAAACAAATAACAAAACTCCAGTGGTTTCTCTGATTTGTTACTCAAACAAATTGGTTCGTGTTAATATTCCCCCTACATGGAATATCTCTTCAAATTGACCCCCTGCCTTTAAAAGTACAGGGCAAACCATGAGAAAAGTTTTAGTGTCAATTTTAAAGCCAACACAAGCAGCACCACTTTGTGGCTACAACTTGCTGCAGTGTGTGGGCCAGTAAAACGGTGGTTTGACAAGCATCTCGTCACAGTGACTGCACGTCTGACTTCATCAGAAAAAAAGTCTTTCCACCAGAGCTGTGATTTAACTCCTTCACTTTCAGAATTACTCAAGAGCCATGGTTAGGTGGGTGCTGGAGGTCCTGCCCAGAAAAGATTGGGTGCAGCAGCGGGTGGAGCTGGAGAGCTGCTGCTGCAGCGGCCTGTGAGGGCCGAGGTGTGAAGAGTGTGGGGTAAAGGGCGGCGTGTGGGACGTGGTGCAGAGCTAAAGGGGTGTGGTGAAGTGCAGAAGCGGGGATAATATGTATGGGCTGACCAGAGAGGAAGGCTGTCGGGTGGGCAGGAATCAGCCCTGCGTGTCCCAGTGAGTGTCCAAGAGAGTGACCCAGGGAGTGGCTGAGATGAGAGAGAGAGATGGGGGTGAGGTGGTGCTGGGGAATGTGATGTACCTGCGCCAACTGGGCATGTGCTGGGTGGGGGTGGTGGGGATGTCCTGGGTGTATGCCCATGGCAGCAGCAGTGGCAGCATGGTGCTGCAGGATGGCGTGTTGTACTGTGGTGATTGAAGTGCCGGAGGCTACGGACACAGTTGGCTGCTGAATGTGGATCTGCTGCAGAGCTGGTGGAGGGGGAGCCGGGGCCAAGCTGGCAGCTGCTGCCGCGGCGGCGGCTGCAGCGGCTGCAGAGGGAAACGTCTTGACCTGCTTGGCTAAAAGCTGCTGCTGGATGTGTTGTTGTGCAGCCTGCTGTAGCTTGCTGTATTTCTCCATCTCCTCTGGTGTGAACGTAATGGGCTGACTCTCCAGAGGAGCCAGTCCGTCCTCCTCTGCCTCCATGCCGTCCTCCTCCAGGTTGGGTGGTGGATAAGCGGGGTAGGCGTGCATTGGGGGCTGCTGCTGCATTTCTGGCATGAGGGACTCCATCATGGGGTTCTGTGAGGGGTCCTGTCCTGAATCTGCTTGGTACTGAGGCATCATTATGGAAGGCTCCTGTTCAAACAATGGCCGGGGTTCTTGGTGCACTTGGGCTTCTGTAGTGGGGTGCTGCGTCTCCTCTTGTACCACCACTGTGCTCTGTGGAGCCTCCTCAACCTTTTGGACTGGTGGAGCTGGAGGTGGTGGTGGAGGAGGGAACTCTCTTATAGGCTCTACCAGGATAACTTCTCTCTCAGACTCAGAGCCCTTCCCTGTTCCTGATTTATCTCCCTCATCTGGTCTGGTTAAAGGAATCACTGGTTTCTTCCCTGCCTGCAGTTTACCAAAAAGTGGAAGCAGGGCTTTATTTCCAAGGGTCGGGGGTAGTTTGGGACCAAAGTAGCCCTGAGGGGGGTCTTTAATCTTGAGACCAGTTTTTGTTCCAGTGCCAGAATCATCAGAACTTTTTTTAGACTGAACCTTCTCCAGAAGTTGTCGTGCTGTCAGGGTGTTTTTCTGTTCCCCTGCATCTCGGGATCCTCCAGGCCTCAGAGACTGTGAGCTGGATGAATGGGTGTTGCGGTTAAGGCCTCGTGATGAAGATGAGCGTGGAGACTGGGAGCGGTAGATGTTTGAGCGGTTGAAGTCTCTGCGATGTGCGTCACTGTCACCTCGACCCCTGGGGCCTCGACGGTGAGAGGAGCCTTTAGCGGAGCTGGAGGAGCGGCTGGCTGAGCTGTGGCTTCGACTGTAGCTGCGCCTCCAGGATCTTGCGCTGGTGCTGCGGCTCCAGCTGCTGGAGCTTCTCGAGCTGCTCCGATGGTGCCGCCGGTGCCTTTTTCTGCGGCTGTAGCTGCGTGAACGTGAGCGGGAGTCATCTGAGGAAGAAGAGGAGTACTGATGTCTCCTGGATCGCCTGCGCCCTCGGCTACCTCTCCGCTCGTACTCGGACTCTGATGAACGCTTAGACCGTCGCCGTCTGTGCCCCTCTTTGCTGTAGTCACTGTAGCTGTCAGAGTAGCTGCGGCTACGGTGGCTGTAGGCACTGCTGCCTGCTGAGGAGCGCTCCGAGCTGCTGGAGTAAGAGTGACTATGGGAGGTTTGGCCGCGATGGTGCCGACGGCTGCTGCCCCGTCTATCCCCTCGTCTTGATGAACGACTACGGGACCGCCCTGATTCCTCACTACGGTGGCGTCGTTGTTCCCGGGGACTTGACCTGTGATGACGAGAGCGCTGAGTGTTTGAGCCGCCTTCTTCTTCACTCTCACTGCTAGGGGGTCTACCTGGACCAGGACTCTTCTGGGCTGAGGTGGAGCAGGAGGCACTTTGAGATGCACTGGAGTCTGTCTTTTGTCTCTTGGTGCCACTGTGCTCCTCTGAGGAATTGGCCTTATTGGTACCTTTTCTGGCTCCGCCTTCCTCAGCTCCAGACTTGGAAGGCACTTCCTTAGTAGCACGTTTCCTCTTGCCCAGTTCTACTCCTGTATTCCCTGTAGCTCCTCCCCCTGCAGGTGTCAGCTGAACGGAGGAGGAAACAGCTTTATCTTCTGACTTTGGTTTTGCTTTATCTTTTTCATCACCTGTTGCCTCATCCTGATCAGGAGCTTTGTTTTTGCTCTTCTTCCGTTTGTGTTTTTTCTTCTTTTTGGGCTTTTCTTGTGTTACCTCTGTCTCTCCTTCAACCCCTTCTGCTGCTGCCTTTTCTTTTTCCTTGTGTTTTGAGTGCTTTGCAGACTTCTTATGCTTCTTCTTTTTCTTTTTTTTCTTGACACTACTGCTGCCAGTTGCAGGCTTTTGCTGATCACCTTCTGATTGACCAGGTTCTCCCTTCATCATTGGCTTATCTTTGTCAGTGCTCGTCCCAGGTTTAGTCGTTGAATCTACTTCTGCTGTTGAGGTTGCTAACTCTTGTCCCTTGTCATCTGATTCTTCAGGTTTAGGGGACTTTGCTGCTTTACCACCACGCACTCCTTTGTTGCGGGACAGCTTGAAGTCAAAGTAGAGGGGATTACAACTGTAAGACAGGGAAGGCTGAGCTTTTGTAAATTCGAGGAGCTCAGAGGGCCACTGCAGGGTCGTGCTTTCATCTTTGCTAAGAACCGGGAAGAAGGGTCCAGTGGGGATTTTAGGGCCTGAATTGGAATCTGGAGTTTCCTGTGTGCTCTCTGGTTTTTGTGTAGGTGAAGTGGGTACCGTAGAAGCTGTGTCTACTGCACATGAAGAGACGTCATCTGTCTGCACTTTAGGCGAAAGAGGAGTTGGGTCTGGGTCAGGAGCTGGAGTGGCTTCGCCTTGTTCTTGATCTTGTTCTTGATCAGTCTGACAATCTGCAACATTAGATTCTGTCTGTTCAGGACAATCTTCACCCTTTTTTTCCTCTGGCCCCTCTTCCTCTTCCTCGTCATCTTCTTCTTCTTCTTCTTCTTTGCTCTGAGACTGATCAGTGGCCTTCATGAACAGCAAAAATTGAAAGTGAGGTTTTACCCGGCAGTGAGCTGGAGGTACATAGTGATAGTACTGAGGCTCCTGTCCAGCATATCCTTCCTCCTTTTTCATCATCATCTTCAGTTTGTTGAGTGTGGAGGCTAGAGAGCCTCCATCGTCCGACTGCTCCACCTCTTCCATCCCTGCCGGACCAACGCCCTCTGCTCCTTCACCCCCTCCTGATATTCCCTTGGGGCTTTCTGTTCCGCAGCCAGATGTCTCCTCTTGTTCTGTTGTCTTTTCCGCCTCTTGGCTCTCATCTTCCTCCATAGCCTCCTCACCATGATCAGCAAACACTGCAGCCGCGGTGTCCAGCTTCACTGGAGCTTTCTTGGCAAAAGAGAAGGAAACACTGACTTTTGATGAACCACTTGGGGTCGGGGAGGAGGAGCTGTTCTTTCCGAGAGAGAAGCTGATGGCTGGGCCAGGCTTTGGGGAGGCTTGCCCACTTTTATCTGTCAGTGATCCTTCCAGTGCACATTCTGTCAAAGCTGGGTTCTCGGGCGTCATGTTGTCACCATCTTCTGCCTTCTCTCCGTCCACAGCCACTGTGGTCGTTTTGAACATGGGCCCACTTCCTGGAGTACTGAAACACAGAAGCATGTAACCAATAAGTAAAATAATAAAGAAATAAGGGGCTCTAACAAATCTTTGAGTTTATTTTGGAAACATGTCCTCTAGACATAAGGTATTGACCTACTGCGAGTAATTGTTAAAATAACAAATAAATCTTTATGTTTTGTTTTAATATATTGTCTCATAATTTTAACAGATTGTGCCATCATCCAGCCAGCAGAGGGCACTGCAAGAATAAATTCTTACCAATCCTGTAGTTTCCTCTGTTCGGCCAGCTCGTGCAATCGGCGTAGCATCTTTTCTTGCTTTTTTCCACCTTTCCGTGAACGTGAGGACACATTACGAGCAAACTCTCTCTGCTTCAGTTCTTTAAGCCTCTGCGATACATAAAAGCAAGACAAAGACAAGACAGGTAGAAACAAAGCTTGTCAGAATCTCTCCATGTTTCAAAGTAAAAGAGATGCATTAAAAGCACACAAATTGACAGTCGACAGTACCTGCTTGTGAGCGTGGTCATAAGAGTTAATGTGGTTGTCAAATTCCTGATGCTTGGTGTACTGTTTGTCACATAGCTCACAGTAGAAGTTGGCTCTCAGGTCCTCCAGAGCCTTTGCAATGGCTTTCTCCTTTTCCATCTGGTCCTAAAGTAGGTGGAAAATAAAGGAGGGAATGAGTGAATGAATCTTCATAAAAATACAGTCACTTGATTAGTGATGACCTTCCACTTTTACATGGGTGTACACAGTAACCACATACATATAAGCATGGTACTAGAATGACAAAAGGCTGAACGGCCTCACTTTGTATTTTTGCCGCAGTTCCTCTGTATCCTCCTTCTCCACTTCCAGGACTCTTCTCTTCTCTGTGGCATCCTCTGCATAGTCCAGCTAAAAGGACAAACGGAGCAATTAATACACAGTACACAAACCCTCCTGAATCAACGGCAGCAGTCCTACTTCATCTTATACTGTATGAGTTCAGCAACTGTGAACAAACTATTATTCCATGGTGTCAGTCTTTCCTGAACTGTAACACTTGTAGGTCACATGAGCTGTGGAAATACCAGTTTGTCTTGCTTGTGTTTTTCTTCAAGTTTCAGATGTACAAAGATAGTTGATGGTTAGTAAGGGATTAGGAGCATCTGGTCATTGGAGCTCAAACCCTCTAATGATATTTGATTGAAAGCTAGAGCTGGAACTTCCTAAAAACTTCAGAGGCAACAGATATGAACCGTATGCATATTTGTTATTTATTATTATATCATTTTTCATAATGTGTTTTCTGTTTTAAGTCCTGTTTATCTCAAATAGCGTTTTGAGGTCAAGGCTCCACACACGACAATCAAGATCTTTGAAGAGAGTCTCTGCAATTTAAATTCAAGACTTTTTAATACTGCGAATAATGAACGTTAATACTTAAAAATATTGCAATCTCACCTCCATCTCCATCCGTCCCATCCCCATGACATCATATTTGAGGATAATGGGCACAGGGTCGGTGCGACCTGAGGGAGAAGAGACAGAGAAAGGACGAGGTGAGTTTTTGAGGCTGGGACGGAGGGTCAGCTCGGAGACAGCCTGCTTTTAGAGCATAGGGTGCTGGGGTTAGAGAATTTTGCCTTGAAGTGCAAAGAGACCAGAAAGCTACAGTGAACCAAACACCAGCCATTCTCACAGCTTACTGCAGCCACCAAGTACAGACCAATTTATCCTTTGCATTTCATTTAACCTGGCTGCTGATTTGCATTTAACTAAGTCAAATTAGCTACACTTTACTGTAGTCTTGTTGAATAAAATGAGGTCAAGGGCATCAGGGTTGTTCGGCTACATATCTTATAGAAAAAAGATAAAGCTCACTTGAAATAAGCTTGTCAGCTTCAAGCGGATCTGTTTTTATATCTTTTCAGTAAAGTTACACTTGCCCAGTACCCCTCCTCCACCTGTTCATTGCAGCAGTCCTGTTAAAGCAGAATGCCAAGTTTATCAAGGACGATACAGCTTGAAGGACTGCAGTGGGTGGTGTGTGTTTGCATGTGTGTGTCTGAAGGGAGTTGCAGTGGCAGCAGCTGCCAGCACAGCTGAGCTCACCGAGTGCCACTGCGACATCCTCCATGAGGGGGAACAAAGCCTCCTAATATTATCTAAGGCCTATTGCATCATCTCTTTCTGCACTGTGTGCGGGCTGGCTGACCCCTGAAAGACCGTTTAACTGTCCCGAGGTTCAAATCCGTCCCCCCTTGTCCCAGAGCCCCTTCCTCATCAAGACTGGAGCTTTAAGATGTTTCCCTTTATTTGCTTAAGCTATGTTATGTAAGCTGTGAAAAGAGCTAGATCAGAAGGAAATTAACTGTAGAAAAATAAAACAAACCAAAGACAACCAAAAAAAACAAAAAAAAAAACAGAATGAAACATTAAAGATATAAAACATATAAATAAATCAAAACTACTTTGGAGATTGACACAGAACTGCTTAATCCACTCATAATCAGCCAAACAAAGCAGAGATAAAGACAAGAGTAAAATTAAAAAAGGACACAAGCACTGAACTACAGCAGAGTGACGTCACAGGCCAGGTATCGCCATGGTGACAGTGCAAGGGATTGGGGATACTTACCTGGTAAAACATGGATATGGGTAGGAGGAGAAGGAAGGGAAGGACAGACAGACAGACATGGGAATCTCAAAACAAAAGGCATAAAAAAAATTTGGACTAGTCTGCTGCTCCAGTTGCCAGCCAGATACAATAATCCATCTTACTGATAGTGATTATCAATTCAGTTTGGTTTCAGTTTTTTTTCCTTCCACATATTCAAGTTAGGGTGGTTTTTTTTCTCCATGAATCAATTTTCTATGAATACCATTGGGCATATGGAATAGCTGTGAACACTGGGATTAGTAATTAATAATATAGGTTTAATTATTGTGATAATTAAGGTTTTCTCAAGTATTGAGGAAAAACGAGAAGGCAAATTCTATAAATTTGTCATTGTCCTGTCAAAGTTTTAGGCAAACTGTCCACAGACAAAATGCATAATTTATTAAATATTTATGCATTTGAAGGCTTTTAAACTTTAAATGCATTACTTCAAATGAGGCTACTACCTGGCACATTCTTACCTTCCTGGACAGAGAAGGGTAAGAATTTTACTACAGGTGTAATATCTGTGCTTCTCTTGATTAATTTAGTCATCACAGCCCAATGACATATTAATTCTGAAATCATAGATGCATGGGCATTGTCACATATAGTGGCCTGCCTGGACTCTCCTTCCCACTGCAGTGTCTGTAAGCTGCTAGGGCCTGTAACTTGAAAAGAAACCTAACTGACTGCATGATTGTGGAGGCCTTATTCCACAGAGGAGGTGAGGAGATGTGTGATTTGTAGATCACAAGACTATCTACTGATAGACATGTGTATTCATGCCAATTGCCCAACAGCGGTAGAGAAGTGAAACCAAAAACAGGGTTTGGTCTGTTAGTCAGCCACTGCAGTGGTCTGTCTGAAAGGAGTCACAAGTCAGGCCCAGAATTAAAGATTAATGAACAATTACACTCATCCCAAACTATCACCAATTTTTAAAACACAGTGACAAAACTTCCACATTACCCATTCCAGTGGAAAACAAAGGGACCAGACAAAAACAATGTGCATCTAAATCACAGGGTGTGAATCACAAGGTTTAAAAAAAAACTGAAAACAAACAAAATGACAATGTTCTAAGAGTAATACATATGCATGATAATATACAAGCAGCAGAATGAGGACTAATACAGAAAGAATTGAAAGCCTATGTAGCATTGGTGGTCTGATGAGAGGAAAACAAAATAACAAAAATGGGAGAAATTAAAACAAATTTTAAAAAGAAAACAATTCAATTGGGGGATAAAATAACATTTACCACTAAGTTTACCATCAGCACAACATGGGCAGGATCAAATGCTGTAAAAAAGAAACACCAATTGGTTAAGCAGGAAGAATTGAGGCACATAGAGAAGGGAGGGTGGGGTTGGGAGTGTGGTTGTGGGGTTAAGGGGGTTTATTACCAGAGGGGCTTCAGTGTGTCACCCCCCCACCTTCCTCATCTCTTCACTCAGGGCTAAGTGCTTACAGGGATTTCCTCTCACCACTCTCTTCCAACCACTGGTCCCAGTCCCCAGGCCCCTAACCTGGCATCATCTTTCTCTCTCAACCACAGTATGCCCCCAGGAAACCAAACTACCAACCCTTACAAAGTACACCAAACGTCATATATCCTTGTATTAATAAAGAAAAATTCAAATGTATATAACTAGTAGCGGTGCAACGGAGCGCAAAACTCACAGTTTGGATCAGAACATGGTTTGTAGTCAAGGATCGGATTGTTTTTTGAATGAAAAAAAGGGAGACAAATATGACTTAGATTTTTATTTATACAACTTTTATAACAATGAAATTTTGCAACACTCTAGGTGTTTAATGTCTAAATCAAGTTTTAAAACAAAAGATTTAATAATAAAGTAAATAAAAAATTGGTTAAATTAGTTATTGTTTTGTCTTCAGTGTTTCCCCATTTATTCTCTAGACTGTGGTGGTCCGCCTAATCCAATTTATACTGCCACATAGCGCTGAACAATAAAATGATAAAGATAATTATCGCGAAATAACCATTCTTTGATAGAAATACAAGTCATGGTCGATACAACGTCAATAAAACTCATTCCATCAATGTTTTGACGGACAACACAAACAGCCAATGATGTTGAGAATAGCGCCTCGCACACGACAGAGTGTAGGAGTAGCAGCCGGCAGCACCACACGTGCTAATGTTTGGGCTACAGCAGCCGTGCACAACAGTACCGGTTTTACCAAAACATGAGCGACAGCACTACTGAAGGAGACACCCCAACGGACACAGCCAAAGCCTCAAACGACGAGGACATTGTTGAAAAGAAGGGTTAGAAGAATTCGGTAGCGTGGAGATATTTTGGCTAGTCTGACATGAAGCAGAGTAGCATGCACTTCCCACAAAGACAGGTAATACCACTTATCTTTTTTACCATCTGAAGCAGATATTACGATTATCGAGCTATATGGAAAAAAAAAACCTGATATGATTTTTTCACCCAGCCTGTTTTGACTCGCAAACAGTCAGGGTCACAGTTTCAGCTGCAGCTGTTTGCAGACCCACGAATGGCATACAATGTCGTACTATCACACATACTACTAATATGTATAATTATAAACTGTATAACTGCAAACTGTGAGCATGTGCAGGTGCACCAGCGCTACCCCCACAGACTGAACCAATTTTGTGGAAAACACTGTTCTTAAGTGCAGGTCCCATCATCTGTAAATTTAACCCAGAAGTGCTCCCATAGATGTGACTTAAATGTTGCAGGAAGCGTCTACAATCAATCTGTGCAGTTCATGTGAACACAAAACTACTTTGATTTAACTGCATCTCTGGATTGAGATTTATGCTATCATTACTTTAAAAATTGCCAGCAACAAACTTTAAAATAGGTAAACTTTGCCATCAATCTGCAATTCAAATGCATTCCGAACTGATCAAACGTGGTCCGTTACACCACTAATATCTTTTTGGGGTTTTTTTTTTTGCCTAAGCTGAGCCCAAAAAAACCCATTAAATTTTGGAGGAGCTGTACTGGGTGAGGGAGTGATAAAAAACTGATGGTACTTCAAATCTGACAGATTAGGGAAGAAAGGAGCTGCATCCATTTACAAAAAATGTAAATCAAAGCTTAAATCTACTTTTACAGTGCGTGGTACAGGGAAACATTTGAGCCTTTTTAAACTTGGTCAAATATATCGTCTGAGATGATAAGTGCCTCTAGGGACAACCACCATTTTCCCCCTTTGAGATTTTTGCCTTGCAAACGCTTGTCAGCCCAGTTAGTAATTCTCTCTGAGATTCCTTCATTTCCTCCCTGGCCTAAAGCCACAAAGCTTGTTTTGGGATGTGCTTAACCCCACAAAAAGTGGACACATGACACACATAAAAAATGTATCTGAGGAAGTAGCCAGTGAGGCTTTAAGCAGTGCTTAGAGCAGGTTCTGCATTACAATTTTTAACCAAAGTACACTTAAAAATGTGAACTGTGCACCCGTTTGGACTGTGAAAGTGGTAGTTCAGTGCGTTACCTCCACCACTGCTTAAAGACCCAGGTGAGTGTGATAGTCTGAGGCAGGCAGTTGTGCACCTCTGGGACAAACATGCTGTGCAGGAGGAGCAAAGAAACAGGGGGAGGATGGGAGTGTAACCATGGGGACAGAGGCATTCGGGTGTAGAAGGGTGGTGAGGTTTTCCCTGTAAGTTGACTCTATGGCCCGGTCAGTAACAGAAACACACATCCACAAACACACATGTGTCTCAGTCCCACATAATGACCACACACATTCACACAAGTTTAACAGGTTTGGAGGTAGAAACAGGCAAACAAGCAGACGGGGGAAAAACATGTCTACTCTGCAAGCCATTCAAAGTCTGAGTCGTGGTTACAGCCAATCAGATACCCGACAGCAGCCACGGAAACTCAAAGAGGAAAAAAAATCTAAAATACGTGGAGATGATGATTCTAAGGGATTTGATGGAATCATGGCTTCCTACATCTACCTCGATTCAAAATAGATTTTTGTTCTTGGTTCAAATCGAAGCATTTTACTCTCGAGCAGATTGAAATAAAGGTTTAGTGATTATGCAGCAAAGAGGAAGAAGCTGACAGAGGCCATTAGCCTACAGTACACTGTAAAAGGGTGTTACATTGAGGTCAACGGCAAAGTGGGAGAAAGAAAACACACCCACACGCGCACACACACATAATGACATACAGAGGGGATCCAACAAACCTTACCTAAAAAGGGGCAAAAAGGACAAAAGAAGAATAAGAACAAAGTCAATACAGTGAAAAACTTAAAAAGGGGAGACAATGCTTTCACTTCAGATTTCATAAACCTTCTCTCTGGCAAGAGGACAGGAAAAGAGAGTAAGATAATTATTACCCAGCAGACGTAGTGAGATATAAGGGTGCAACTGTGCTGTAAGCTGACTCCTTAGGAAATTTGAACAGAGATAGTGGGTTCCAGCACCGGGTCATTAATTCCTACACAACAACTGGACACTTTGCCGCAGTCTCATCTGCCCACAAAGCAGGATGCTTATATAACGATGTCAGTGAGCCAGCGGCAAAAACAAGCACAGTCAGCTCCTGCAACTTGTTCTCTTAGCCACACAAAGCACACATTCTTATTACATCAAACAGATTGCTGTTCAGTTTGTCCAAGGCCACATAGAAATAAACAACGAATGCTACACTCAGAAATGTCTGCAGTGTTGTTAGCCTCCATGCACACTGCCCAGAATGAAGTCCCTGGCCACAGTCAAGCTGAGAATACCTCGGAGATGACACAAGGAAGCAAGGCCATATATGCACATGAGTGAGAGGTGCTGGGGTAGCAGCAACACAGCTTAACAGTCAGTCATTGGATCTGTGTGTCTCTGGAAGCTCACCAATACATAATCAACATTTTAGTGTCTAAATGTGGAGTTCACATGAGTAAAGATACTAGCTGTTTACAGCAATGCCAATCTGTACGACCACGTCCACACTGTGGCAAATACATCTGATTTTACGATTCATCATTTACTCAGACCACAGGAAAACAAAACTGTGCTCATTTATCTGTTAAACTAAGGAGATATTGTGACCACCTGCTCTGAAAGACCATGAATATAATTGTATTTTGCAATATAGTCCAGTAGAGGTGGGGAAATTAATTTTTATTAGCATCGATGCAGAGACAGAACATAATCAATTCATATTTTCCCCAATGTACATATTTTAAGCGATCCCACTGCTGTATTTTTAACCACAATCTTTGTTGCAGAAGAAGCAACGTTCAGTGCTGCACACTCAGCAAGTGTGAGTGAATCAAAAAGAGCAGAGGAGCAGAATCTCTCCTTGACTAGCCGAGTAATGTGCCTCGATGTTGCCAAGGGGGGCCAGGCTGATACAATAAAGGCAAAAGATGCAGCACACAAGTGTAAACTGAATGAATGTCAAATCAATGTGGAGCGCACTGACCATTGTTAAAGACTGACTGCTGTAGTCTGATATTTTAATGGAAAACCTTATTTTGTAAATCTTAAATACCTAAAAAATCAAAAAACTCAATAAAAATTGATCATGTAGAGAAAAAAGATTCTTTGATGCATCTATAATCGTTTTATAGTCGAATCGTAGCCCTCTGAATCGGAATCGAATCGTGAGGTGCCTTGAGATTCCCACCCCATATAGTCCAGCAAACAATTAAGAATTGTCTGTTGCCTGACTATTCCAATTTAAATTATCATTCCCAGAACCATAGACACACAAAAGGCATTGACTTGAAAGAGGTGATTTCCATAATATATCTAATGCGGCCAACAAATCCAGTTAGACAGCACAAGTCTGAACACATATCTCAGCATCTTTAATTTACAAAGTGAATTTAAATGACTCATTTACTCTGCTAGTTTTGCATGGGCTCTTATGTGTTTAGGTGTAAGGCTATGACCACAGTTTGGGTGTGTGCTGGAAACTCCATATTTAGTGGTTGTTTCTCATTAAAATGCTGATATTGAGCACAGCTGTTACTGCTGGGTTTACACTGAGAACAATGCACTGGGCAGGATTTGCAAATGCAACGCCATGAGAGAAGAAGAGGTCATCAGTGCATAAGAGTTATATATGTAAAACTGGTGGATCTGCTGTTAAAATGGGTTGGACCAAGAAGACAGAGAAGGACATGCTGGAGGAGGTAGACGAGACTTAATGCCAGAAATTATGTGGAAAAACAAGCTTCCGAGCAGACTGCAAGGATTCATTAGCTTGTCAGAGATGATATCATTCACTGACAATGCTACACATCATCCTCTCTGGAGCACAGGCAAGGGTGTGGCTATGAAAGCATTACAAAATAATAAGAGACAGAGAGAATGAAGATATTGATGAAGGGAGGTAAGTAAGTGAACAGACAGGAAGTGGCTCAGTGGAAACATGCTAGGCTTCTGCACCACTGCCTGTGAGCCAGTGAGCCTATGAGCGCAGCAGGGTTGAGCTAATGAGGTGCTGATGTTAGCCAAGACTAACCCACACTCTAAGCTCTGTTGAGCCTGCTCCCTCTTACAGCGACTCAATATCAACTCAGCCATTCAATCACAGTTACCTCCAGTGAGTTAATGGCTTTAAAGAAGCTTTCTAGATCTGGAGAAGGTAAGAGACCAGAAAACAAACTAGCACAACAGCAAATTTGAAGTTCAGAACCACTGTTTCTCAAAGATAATTGGTTCAACAACTATTCTGTAATATAGAATGAAAAATACCTTACTTTAGTCTGAGTTGCTGAAACTAAGTGCATGACAGGAAGACAAATACACACTTAATTCCATTACCCAATCCCGAGGGTGCCCTCTCTCATGCTTATTCCTTTAAAAGCATCCAGAGCTACAGAACAGCAGCACGAGAGCAGAACAGAAGCAACTGGAATGACGTTTGTTTAAATAATAATCCATTTTACCCAGTAACAGACACAAAGGAAGAGGTCAGAGGAAGTATGTGAAAGAGAAAAGAAAAGTTGCTAGTACAAAACAAACCCTGGAAAAATGAGGGGGGGAAAATGGCATAACATAGTGGCCCAGTACCACCAGCATACTTTGAAAATAGGTGTGCAGAAGAGTGAGTTCTTACCCTGCATGGTTTTGCCAAGGCCTTGCCCCAACTTCCAGCCATGTTTCTGAAGCAGCCGGTGCCCGATGTTATCCTAGCAGAGAGAACAGAGGAGAAAAAAACCAAAAATATTCCAATAATAAGATGAGCTTTCCCCGTGGGCACGGGTCAAAAACACAAACACACAAAACAAAATAAAACACTCAGATCACGCTATCATCATCAGCACAACCACCACCACCATCACCATCATCATTATCGTCATCCACATCACCTACAGCGTGTAACATCAGTGTCTTCCAGCACAAGGAGTGGTAGTTGGGGGTGGATGGGGAAGGGAGATAAAGGGGGGACTGAGAGGAAGAGTAGTTTTTCCACTATGATAAATACATGAGGCTATGTGTGACCTGTAAACTACAGGATACCCTCCTACCGTGGAAGTACACTTAATTCAAAATCTTTTCAAGGCAAAGGAGTTGGGTGGGAGCATTTCTGTTTTATTTGGGGATGATAAAGATAAAACATCAAGTCACATTCACTAGCTGAGAAGTTAAGAGGAGGAGGAAGGAGAGGGTAATATATGTATCACACGCATACATATATGAACCACTACAGAGCAAGATCTTAGTACACAAAGAAAAGTGACACAGAACAAGTATGGAAATCTTGCATTAACAAAAACGAAGACCAGAAACTCCAAGCTTGCTGTGATTCCGTAACCATGACAAGGGGAGCACCATGAAACAAATGCAGCTGTCACAAAAAACAATACAGCAAGAGGAAGAGACAGACGTGGAGCTAGTGGGCCTTGGATTACCATTACAAGGCCCAGGGTGGATAGTATATGCACGTGTGAGGGGGATATGTGGATGTACAGGTGAAGTTAGGGAGACATTGTGAGCATGTAACCCCACCGGAAGTACTAGAGATAGCTGCTGTGCATGTTCTTGGACACTTTTAGCGTCTCTGGTCTGTTATCAATAGTCTGTTCCCAACCATGTTCACACTGTTTTATCAAGAATGTATGTCATTAGCATGCTTTTAATTTGACCATTCACAAAGATATCATTTCTATATACCAAGAGAAAATACTTTAAAGTAGAGATAATCTGATGCCAGCATCAGAAATGCCTCTGATATTGCCAAAAATGCTGGGTCAGGCATCTACAATTACACAAATCAATGTACAGATTTGATAGAATGTCTTTTTAGTATACTAGCTTCACCCAAATTAAACTGTAGTTTTATTTTCCAGGAATTCACTTCTTTTTCGCCAGTAAGTACCGTTTTTAAAACAGCAAAGAAGATTTCAGGCAGTGTAACTTTAGCCATGTACCGTATGAAGGACTTTAGTTTCAAGGGGTAGCACCAATGTTGGCAAATGCAAAACTACCAATCTCATAAAGCATTTAAAGAACTACCACACAAATAATAGCACAAGGAGTTAAACTATACTAGGCCATACAACAATAATGGCAACCATTACTCATACAGATGATAAATATATATGTTTAACAAGTTGTTGTTGTTTTTTTTTTTAAATATAATGGTTTCATATTGTTACTGTATCAGAATTGGTATTGGAATGGGAAATGGCATCAGAATATCTCTATTTTAAAGACTAGATGACTTTTACAAATTGCAGCACACTGTAGCTTTAAATCAAGCGCTACAGAGGACCCAAAAAAGGATTCAACTGCACTGAGGTTCTGATTTACTTACCTATTTATACTAATGAATGCTAGGACAAACTCTACACTATCAATGAGGACAAGACCAGGCAACTGATAACAAATCAAAGAGGTTTGAGTGTTGGAACATCCACAACAGGAATTCCTAGCACACTGTGGGGCCCAATGTGCATGTCTTAGACTGTTAAATCACTAGTGAGGGTCAGCAAGAAAATAAGAAAAAACATTAAGTGAAATGCAAGACCGTCCCAACACTACACACTACAGTACATCCTCAAGCACAAATAAACAGGAAACAATGAGATTTCTTAATAAGCAGTGTTTTTTCTGTTGTGATTATAACTATTCCAAGCTTGGCTAACATTCACCAGAGTGCTGCATTCTACAAAAAACATACAAACCAAACAAAAAGGATATTTATAATCACAAAGAGATTGACATCAACTTTCACAAACAGAAAGTGAGGGGGTTGGAACAAAACAGAAAAAAACAGCATGCAGCTTTTTGTTAAAAGAGTTTTAACAAAAAGCATCGTCGGTGTTAGTAGCGCACTGTGAATGGTACACATACAGAGGGGTGGGGCGGGCTGGGGGTGGTGGATGGATCAAAAAAACTAACCAAACAACTGTGTTAGTCTCAGGTGGATCAGGCACAGAGAGGAAGGTGATGGCTCAACGGGGCTCAATTAGTTCTTTTTGACATAAGAGGAGGTCAGGAAATGGGGCAGAACAGAGCAGGCTGAGCCATAGTGAAGGTGAGTTTCTAGGATTGTGGAGGTGAGCTGGGCTTGTATGGGTTAGTGCATGTGAAGGGGAGTGGTAGTCACACACAGCACACACTGCATCTCCGCCCACAAGGTCTCAATTGAGATACGTTTGATTTAATCTTTGGCATTTCAGAGCATACTGTTGCCTTCCTTTGACATATTTAAGATTTTTGGTAGAAAAACAACATGCAAGTTGTAACAACCATGAAATGGCAATTCTTTACCATGATGCCTCGAATGAATACGTTCAAAACATCTGGCTGATGCTTGCCTCTAATGCCCAAGATAAGGACTACACTGACTCACTTCCTGTTTCTGTTAGGGTTTGGTATTTTTTCCCTCCATTTCATGATGTTTGCTGTGCGGCTGTCAGATCCATTCCTCTGCGGGACTAGATAAGAGAGGGATCTGTGCTGGGGCTGACATGGTGGGTAGAGACCTAGAGACAGCCAGCCTGTATCAGCCCATAACTAGGACACCGAAGGCTATACTATCATGCTATCACTCTATATGACTTGTCCCTGCCCATCGGTTTCTGGTCATGTCATAAGATGCACAGAATTAAGAGGTTGTGGCTGGTTAAGTGTGTTTTATCCTGACTGGTGGACAAAATGTCCTCCGACATCATTGTGGAGGAACACTGCAGAATTTGCTGCAGTAAATGCCTCCCCTCCCACCGACATTGGGCTTGCCTCTGTCCCTTACTGCAGGATTATGGTGCAACAACACTGCACATGAACATTTATATTAATTTGTAGGGTTGGCTGGTGTATGAAGCTTGGAGCAAGGAGGGAAATAAAATGCACCCTGAGTCATAGTTTTGCTGAGCCTCTTCACAATAATTGGTGAAAGCTGAACCTCCTCAAGCTCAGAATATTGTCCCTCTCTTAGATTTAACATGTTTCTCCTTCCAAATATCTCACATTTGATCTATTTCATCACATAGATTAAAAAAATAATATAAAAACAGAAAGGGCAGGTTGGATGAAGCACGAGTCGCAACTGCCAACGCTAATTAATAGATTAGACCAAAAAGGGCTCAGAAAAGGTCAGGGGGTGGAGATGAGGCGCAGGCTGCATGTTGAACAACAGATGAGTGCACCAAAAGAATTGACAGACAGACGGATGAAAGCAACGACGGCGAGTCCAACAGCAGTGCAAGTGGAGTGAAGGCATTTCCATACGAACCTGGCTTTAAAATACTGGGCTGTCAAAAAAACAGTCACACGTGACACAACGTAAGAAACCGGCCAAACGCTTTCAACTGCAATTCTGCTAGCTTCTCTAGTTCTTAAAAATGCAAATCTCTCTCTGCTTTTAAACAAACATAATACTGTTCACAAACAGAAAATGTAGGCATGTCAATAAATCCACCAATGGAGAGTTAATACAGGAGAAAGAAAAAAATAGAAAATGTTATCCAAACAAAAGAGATCTATAAGAGGGGGTGTTTTTAAAAAGTGTGCATTGTGCCGTCATCGGCACAGTGCATGGTAAATGATATGGGTAAAAGAAGTGATATGCAGGGGACCCCACCTAGATACCTCAGAGTATAGAGCCATTTGTGTGTGTAAGTAAGGGCATTTGTGTGTGAAATTTGGTTCAGATTACTTAATTTAAACTTCCCAAAACCAGACATTTACTGTAATTGTTCTTGGTTGGTTGCTCTGTAACAGATCTGAGATTTTGCAAAGTCTAAAAAGAAAAGACTGAGACGGAGTCTTTAGGGATCTGTCTTGCAAGTGGGCCGCTGCAGTTTCTCATCATCCTTTCTCGTGTCCCTGAGGAATGTCTTCTGGCGTGAGCTGGTCACGGACAGGCTCTGCTGTCTGCTGTTCCTCATAAACTCATGTAGCTCCCTGGTGTTGTACATTCCTGCACTGTCTCATTCACTGTAGGTGTGACTAAATGAAAACAATTGTCTCTGTGCAGTCGACAAATATCTAAATCAGAAAGCTCTACTTCCGTGTGAGGGGATAAAGATTGCACTGCAATGACAAAGAAGGATTTAAGTCTGATGACTATCAATTTTACACATAATTTAAAAATCATACTTACCTCATAAAGCTGAACTTAAGTAAAGACAGAAAAGGCCCAAGTTTGAGGGGTGTCCTGTTACTCTTAACAGAGACAGTGATACTAGTGTTTTCACTGAGTTTGAAGACCAATCAGACTGGTTTACACACAAATGCTTAAGGTTATTTTCTGGGTTTGTTTAGAGTTTTTATTTGAAAATCTTAAACATGTCACCAGAGCTGCTCACTGGATGAAGACTGGTGCTTAATTAAGGGTTGGGTTTGACCTTTTCCATGTGTTTTTAACTAATAGCTGACAGAACTCTGACAGTCAACAGCTGTGTCAAATATGGACTGGCTATCATGCAAAAGCTTACACATCTCAAAATGTAGCAATGTAGCTGATATACCTACAAATAAACAAGTTCTTTTGGGCCTCACTAACTGTACAAGAGAGAAATAGTAATTACCACAACTTGGATGAACCTACCAAGAAATCGATCTTCCTGTGGCCTATATACATGTTTGTTAGATTTGTGTATGTGTGCGTTCTGTTGCTCTGAGGCTGCCCACTGCATATCGCTCTGAGACGGGGTCAGGTAAGGGAGGAGGGGAAGGGCAGGGGTTTGGGGAACTGGAAGGGGGGCAGGAGACGTGGGAGGAATGACTTTGGGAAGGGAAAAGTGTAGTAGTGATATCGGACAAGGGTGTTGAGAGGAAATAGTACTGAATGCTACCAAGTTAAAACATGCAATGCAAAAACAATGTTAGAGAGAAAGAGCAAAGACCAAAAGGGGAAGAGAGAAAGAGAAAAAAGATCCCAATAAAGTACCACAGACCTCTAGCTGCCTATAGATCACACACAATAATTGGCAGGGGAGGGGCTCCAAGAGGCCGGGCAGAAGCATTTACCAGCAGCTTCAAGGTGTGGCGCTTGTGAACGATAGCAACAAGTCCTACCACCTTAGGGTCACACTAAGGTGGCAGATACAGTCGTGTGCTTCTAGTGATATAATTATATGCATAATTCAACTCTATCTGACAGAATGTGTTGCATCCACCAAAATTAACTTCAGTGTTATCTGTGTTGATTTGTGGCAAATTTTCACATTAAGTTGCCTGTAGATAAAAATTCTGCCACCTTTCCTTTTTGCATTACTACCGGAATTACGTTACAGGTGACGGGACCTCTGATTTTGCCGTTTTTTTCCACGGTTGGGTGAAGTACTGTGTGATGCTGCAGCGCGGCCCTCAGCGCCCCTCCACAAATAATAGCGCAGGAGTAAAAGAGCCACTCAAGCCGGGTGAGCAGGCCACCTCTCTCCCATTCTCTTCTCCACCGCCCACTCAAGGCTGGAGGATTGTGTGCATGTGAGTCATACATAAAACTCGACCAGGATATAAAATTTTAATGCTCTTGGTTCACTGGATTCTAGCAATGGAAAACACATGTTTTTGGTGACAGGTCAGGCTACAGATATGATCTTGTGGTAAAAGAAAAGCATATATCTGTAAGACATAGAAAAATGACCATGATCAGCAAGTGTGACTGATTTTCCAATCTTGCTGCAAAAATTCAAAACTAAACAACATACAGGGTTGGTAATAGAGATGTTCCAGCATTGGAAATGCCACCTGCGGAGGATGCTGGGTCAGGCAACAGTGAATACACAAATCTATGTACCTATTCGATACCACGTCTTTAGAGTTTCATCCAGATAAAATTGTAAATTTTCTTTTACCAGAAATCACTTCTTCACTGCTCCGAAACAGCAGCTGCACTGAACTGCAACTGGAAAGTACTGCCTTTAGAGCAGCAAAAGAGTGATTTCTGGTAGAGAAGCATTAGCATGAGCTAACTAAAATGCCAGCAATTCAGCAATATTTCATGCCACAAGTGAAATGGTCATGTGTCATTCAAGATCATATACAGTCTACAGCTCTTTACATTGAAATGCATGTTTAGAGTCATCTAAAATGTTCTCTAGAAAATCCTAAGAATTTAAAGGCTAGTTATGTTTATTCAAGTTTTTAATGATTAATAATTTATTCATCCTTGACTGGACAGAAGATTATTAAGAAACCTGTATCATTTATACATTTATGTTCAATAGACTGGATCTATATATTTGGATCTAAACCTGGTCGCTGATGGTTCCAATTTGTTAACAGAGCAAACTGATTGATGGTGAGGAAAGGTTAACCCAACTGGAGGTACGAGGAGTTTGGGCCTGCTCACCACAGTGCTCCAGAGACAGAAGAGGGGATGGAGAGATAGGGAGAGACAGAAAGAAAAGAGCTGCCTGCGCTATTATTGATGTGCCTCTTCAGCGAAAAATGCAGTCCCAGTTGCACAAGCACCATGCCAGCACAGAATGACAGAGGGTACTGTACACCGAATCACTGTGTAGTAGGGAGGGAGCGAGAGAAAAGTAAGAGCTTGAGAGAGAAAAGATGTAGAGAGACAGTAGTGAAACAGAGAGAGAGCAAGAGAGAAAGATAGTAAGAGAAGCGTTACAAGGACCCTAAAGATAGGAGTAAGAAAGCAGAGCGTGCAAATACAAACCGGGTCATTGCTGCTTAGCTAATAGGGGCCGATTCGCTGCAGGAGAGAAATGTCGAACACCCCAAGTTGTGTACAATAAGATAACTGTCCTATAGACACAAACACTATACACTAACACATTTATTCTAAAGCTACAAAGACACACACTCACTCTAACACAAATGTAGCCATTCACACCATCTAATGTGTGCTCGTTTGCTGGAATGGTGTGGAATAAGCACTGCATGGATTCTATATTCGATACATTGAAAACTCTACCTAATTTGACTATTTTTTAACTTCAAATATGTTTATTCTTGTTTAAGATGCATGTCTATACCTTTTGAAAAGGTAGATCAATAATGGATCATACCAGAAAAAACAAAACTGGAGGGCTCTTATGCCAAACCTTACTCAAAGTCGCTGTATCAATAATTCAGAATAAAATCTGTTCATTATCAAATATGAATTTTTTGAGTTTGTTCCAGCTCCAGTAGATAGATAGCAGCCATTAATGACAGTGCTTTATCCACTTCATGCTTTCAGAGTCATCTCATCTCAGTGCTAAGATGACTAACAATGACTAATGGATTAATAAATAAATAAAACTTTTTATATGTAAGCTCTACATAAAAAACAGCAAGATCTAGCATATATACACAATCATTTTAACTGTCACACAGGAAATGGAGTAGGCAGAGGACATGGGAAGTGGGAGGGACTTTTAAAGGGAATTAATAGACATGAGACAAGTGATTCTACAGGTTACATGGCAAGTGTGTTCAAGAAAACACTGGATGCATCTACATGGACAGAATGAATGGAGTAAAATAAAGATGTGGTTTTTATTCCTCCCTGGACCAATCATATCCACTCTCACAGCTGGTCCAATGGTTCGGGATGATGGATGTAGCCTTACCGATTCGATGGGCTTGTCCAGGGACGCCTGCTCCAGCTCCAGCTGGCCCTCTTCATACTGGTCAAAGTGATTCCCACCCTGAGGGACACATCACACCGAAGCTTATTTTAGAATCAAAGCAGGGAAAGAGTCTGGTTTGAGTGGCAGGTCAACAAACAAAAAAATCAGGAGCTATTTTGATGACTGATGTATCACTTATCAATGATTTTTCAAGCAAAAATGTAGAGCAAATCAGTTGTGAGGATAATGTGATGGTAAATTAAATATCTTTTGGTATTTGGGTTATCATTTTCTTTTACACAGAACAAATCTGTGACTTGAAAATGTGACAATTTGTGTTTGCAGCACTAACTGTTCAACTGAGTTTCTGAGGAAGCCTCAAATTGAGCTTTTTGAAATATGACTATCTTTGTGTTCCAAAACAGTGCAAGGAGGTGTGCCTGCTGTCTATCATTTGAGCTGAAAAATACTCATTCACATTGAATAATTGTCGATTACACAAACTGAATGGCAATCTGGAAATTATATTATATTATACACAAGATAGGATCAGTTGACATTCTACTTGTGATAAGCAAGATAATATATTTGTTATTCACTACAACAGCAAAGTAATATGTATTTTTGGTGATGGGCCAAATGATCTCAATATTATTTCCTGATTTCACCTAATTCTAAAATAAAACCACAACACAATTTACATTTACAATATACAGTTTACAAGATATGAAGATAATAATTAATTATATCATAACATATCCCCAATATGTAGAGAAACATCCTAATAAAGTCCAGCATAGCTGCTAAGCTCCAAAAAGTATGCACAGCAGATATACCATATTCTGACTGGACCCATGTGTCCCCTTGTTGCCTATTATTACCTTTTATTCAGTTTGCCTGTAATTGTAATTTTAAAAAGGGCATATTTATATTGTACATTAAATTTCAGTTTGGGAGAGTTTTGGTTTCTTCAAAGTCACAAATAGAAATGTACTTGAAATGGTTTCTTTCTGTTACTTTTTTCTTTGCCAATTAATTCTGGCTGACTCGGGCTGGAGTCTAAATCTGAAGCAAGACTTTACTAGTAGTAACAGAGCGTTTATGGTTAAATCTGTGCTCTGGGTGGGATACAGAGTGAGTGATGGGCTTGCCATCCTGACCAAAAGAAGTGTGTTTATAGAGCTGTTTCTGCTCTGAGACAGATGGCTTCCTCTCTAATGCACTAAAGGAGACATGAAGGTCATGTTTGCAAGTCTTGTTTTCTCCTGACATTCACACAAGCACAAAAATCCACAAAAAACATCTGTGCAGCATATTATTATTAAATTACTGCCTGTAAAAACTGGGCATCGCACAAGCGTAGGCAGCTTAATCTAATGTAACAATCGTTATGACATATTTAGATTTATTATGTTTACTTAAGGGTTGAAACATGCAGCTTAAAATGGTAGACAGCACAATGCTTATAAGGGCTGGGCCATGCAGGAGGCTTTACCCACCACATTCTCTTGGGAAACTGGTTTTGCAGAGATAAGCAACTGCTCTAATCAGCCCACAAAGATGATGTGATTTGATGTCAAACTGTCTGTCATTAATTCAAACAAAACAGGACCCTGCATCAGTATGACTGAAGCCAGGGATTAGGAGAGGAGAAGATGCTGGGGTAGAGCAAAGGATTTATTTATGAACAAATCGATGTCTCCCTGCTCCCCTCCTCCCTTCCCATGTGTCCTCCTTCTGGCTTTCTGCTTAGACCACTAAATGTGCTGTCAGCCCCATCCCCACCACAATGACTTCTTATTCTCTCTGCTGCTCGCCTCCTCATCTGCCCGCCTCTGGTACACAAACACCAAATCTATGCAAAAGAAATTATCTCCGCTCGGACCCCTTCTGTGCATTAACACAGTAGATTTCCATTTGTGCTACGGCATTGAAGTGACTGCTCCATTAGGAAATGATAGAGCCATGGCTAGCCAACTGTGTGGTTGCTCATAAATTGCCTTGTGTGTTTCTGAAGCTGGAGATTAGCCACATGCTAAAGCTCCAACAACAATGTAAATGAACAGAGCTGTTGGACTGGTTGTGCAATGGATTTTAGGTAGACCATCTGTGGGTGTTTCCTACGCCGTGTTGCTTGGCAGCGAGCTTTAGTCCATGGAGTCAAGAGAGCAACTTTCTGAATACTGAGCATATGAATGCCTTCACATTAGATCTCACAAACAGAGCTGCACTGTGCTGGAGCTGCCTTCAACAGTCTCATTCAGACCACACAGCAATCACCTCACTGACAAAACAGCAGAATACTGAGTTCTAACTGGAAACCAACACAGGGGGCGTAGAGGAAAAAAAACAATTACACAAACCGCTCCTTATACACATTTTTAAACTTGTTATAAGATTCACAGCATATCAAAGTTGACCATTTCAACAACAGCTACAGCAATAGTTCCACAAACATAGCTAATGTAATACATTTTCAGTAGAACTTTTAAACTACAATATTATCTGTGTGACCAAAATATCACATATGACTAAAGCATACTTTATAAACCTGACCAACGCTTCACTTACTTTGTTCAGAAACACTTCCCATATTTTTACTGGTGGCATCAATTACAGAAGGTAATGTCATTATTCAAATGCAAGGAGGGGAACACGGAATCAGAAGGAACAGACATTTCCCTCTGCGTTTTTTTATTCAAATTACTCATCTGAGCCCTAAGTATGACCCAGCCTGAACTTCACTGTTGATACAACATATCTCCATTTTGTTCACAGATCACTGGAAAAAACAGAGTCATACGTCACCACTAAAGTTCCTCAGTGTCATGTAATTACTGTCTTCTTGATGATAATAATTTCAATGTACAGAACAAGATAAATTAATTTCAGACGTAGACTGTCGCGTCATGAAATCTGAGTCTGAATGAACACAACCACGTATTCCCCAAAACTCTCTGTAAGACACTAGTTTGACTTGACTAACCCCAATTGACTTTCTCCAAAATACTGTGATTGAGAACTCTGAAAATTTGACATGCTAACTTGATCCCAGCAACACGTTCAACTGAATGTCACCTGAGGTTCAAGTTTCCGTATTGGCATAAAATCCACTCAGCGGAATTGTCACCTAGCAAGAAAATAAATCACAAACACAGACGTGGATGGTAAAACTGTTACTCAACGTGATTCACATGTGCTGCCAGATGGTGTGTTAGCTAACAACGTGGGAAGCTCCAAATAATTAAAATCCTGTTAGATGGATGAAAAAAATAAATATTACTGATGCCAGGTAATCGCTGTTTCAAGCATCCTATGTGGGATTTAGAAATTATTCCGATTTAACATAAAAATTACGCAATAACAAATTTCAAATAGGTTTGAGGCTTGTTTTGTCATTTTACCAGTAGTGTGGTTTTTGACTTTTACAAGGTGTAGTCACAGATCACAGATAGGCAAGTGGTAGAGCTCATAAATTCAGAAACTTGACTCTGGCACTCACATTGTAAATAAATAACCTGAAATAATGTATTTTGCCAAAACTAGTGTAATTATTTTGCAGTAAGGATAGCTAGCAAAATAAGTATACTTTGTTAGTGTACTACATCATGCAGCCTTCTTCATATCCACTGCATAGTACATTTAAAAGCATATGTCCAACATTCAAGTCTGTCCTAAAACAACATACAGATGAAGATATGTACTGAAACAGGTTTTTCTAACTTATATCATTCTTCTTGTTCATTGTGGCCATCAAAAGGCCTGTGCCAATATTCTTTAGTAAAAAAATGATGGGGGACAAAGTTCAACAAACATATTTTAAAGATAATGAGTAGCCACTATGCAGCACCAGCTTAAGTCTCAAAAACTCAAGAGGATGTCTTCCAGAGTTAGTCCTTTTAGAATAAAATCCCCTCTTTGTGTTACTGTCACTGCACCGCAGCTCAACAGTGAAACACTGTCCAGGGAAACAAATGGGGCTGAGAAACAGCCATTACTTTGCAAAATATCCAATTGATTTGATTAACTCAACCTGCTGAGGCCATATATCAGTTTCACATTGAGTCAGCAATACAATTTGCACAGAGCTTAAATGGTGCAATTTGTTTCCTGATGCCCTTAACGGTGCATTAGAAAGAGCCAGCATGAACAGGTGGAATGGTTGGAGAAGAGTGTCAATTATTAATATTTTTCATTATCGATCGATCAGCTGATCCTTTTTCTTGATAAATGGTGTTTCATAATGTTTGACATGGTGCATCGTGGCAGTGAAGCCTTTGTAAAGTTTAAGCTGACATCTTCAAATGTCTTGTTTAGTGTGACCAACAGTCCAACATCCAAAAGATGTTATCGTGTTTGACAAACAATTAAACTGAATCGAGTTAAGCGCATTTCAGAAAAGCACATTTTAATTTCATCATCAAAATATTATTGTTCGATTATCGACTGATCATTACAGGTCTGGATCAGGGCAGCGAAAACACTTTCAAGGCTTCTGCTGCACTAGACTTCTGTTTTGAGGCTTAAGATCATTTTACTTGCACCATAGAAACAAACAAACAAACAAATAAAGGCGTGTAAGAGAAACAACAGAGAGAGCAGAAGAAAAACACGTTTGACACCAATAGAGAAAAACTGCAAATATGTGACGAACATGTTTGTTTATCCAAAATGCACCTTCTCAAATGCACTTTATAGTTATGAACCAATATATTAGACGTAAATTCAAATCATACCATCACATAAAAGCACAACTAGAACCGAACTGTGTTCATTTAAACGTGCTGACTAGCTTTAGTCGTTGTGCCCCAGTTGTCAACATGATACAGCCATTTCTGGCTAGCGCTGTTATCACCCAACGAGCCTTCGAGTTAGCTACCTGCTAGCTAGCTATCCATCGTTAGCATATGTCGATAAATAACCAGACTTCCCAAGGTCACTAACGAGCAAATCAGACTCGGGTGTGTGTTTTACTGTCGCGTGGATGTGCGGGTTGACGCTGACTAGTGTTACGGTTAATAACCCGCGGTGTGAGCGAAATAAACCAGGCAGCGGAGACGTGAGTGAAGTTAAATTCAAAGGAGCCGCAGCGCACTGGCGTTAGCTTCGTTAGCTTGCGGTGCTAGCGAGCGACATCTACAGCGAAGTGCTCGACGGCGTTCGACTTGTCCCCGCCTGAGTCCGTCAGAGGAAACATCCAAACGTGTTGAGGAGCCGTGTACATGCTCGACATTTCACCGCACGTTACCTGGAAATCACGCTGTTCGTTGAATCTAGAAAATCTGTCGGCCATTTTCTGAACACAGCAGCAGCTTCTCTGCTGCTCGCTCCGTCCGCGTCCTACACCAGCGCTGTGGTGATGATGATGATGAAGATGAGGAGGATGATGATGATGATGCTACGCAGTTTACAACTGATTCAGTCAGACATTTCACTAAGCTGTTTCCACCAGGATGTTACAGTGTCACCTAAGGTTTACATGTGCCGCTCCACTGACATTACTAGAAGAAAGTGTCATAAAGAGGCCCCCAGAGGTACCTTGATAAATTACAGATTTATATAGAAACGTGCCCCAGTTAAGTAACATGTCAACAAATGTATTATTCCTGCACTATTACATACATGTGTCCTCCTAGTTTAATGCGATTATTTACATTTTAATACTTTAAAGTATTTTTAAGTATTAAAGGTTCAGTGTGTAGAATTTAGTGATATCTATTGGTGGAGTTGCATGTTGCAGCTGAATACCCCTCAACTCACCCTCTCCTTCCAAATATGAAAGAGAACCTGTGGTAGCCTTCAGTTGTCATAAAAACTCAAAAGGTGTTTATTTTGTCTAACCTGGGCTACTGTAGAAAAACATGGCGGCAATCGAGAGAGGATCCACTCTCGATTATAAATGGCAAATTCTAGGGTAAAGAAAACCACAATTTATATAATTTTGATGATTACACATGAGTGAAAACATCAGTGGAATTATTTTAAATTCAATTTCTGCCAATAGATCCTTTTTACCAAAATCTTAGACACCGATCCTTTAAGAACTATTTATTTATATTTAGTTGTGTTTTATAAAGTTGCTCTAACTTTGCTGTGTCAAAAGATTACAACACAAGTTTATCATTCCATCATAGGAGAATTATAATGCTATTATCAACACATTTTTTCATTATAAGCTTGGCAATGATCATTGAAATAGTGACAAACCATCACTTTTCCCTGAAGCTCTGGTTCCCATACTCATATCACTATGTATTTGCTTTAGAAATGACTTAAACAATGAATCAACTATAACTGGGAATCAACTCTGACAAATGACTAATTGATTCATCAACTAAGGTTAGTAATAACATTTTTACATTTCGGGTTGGTGTCTGCAGGCATCAGGAACATTTCCATTTTAGTTTATGTTGTACATTTAACAACAAACCTATACTGATATCTTCTAAATGGGTTGTAATGTACCTCAAAACATGAGCCACATTTGACCTTTTGTTCTAACTGGAGGATCACACCTTTAATAAGTGATGATATAACTACAAGCTAATGACTCCCTTCAGAAGCCCCCCCCACAAACTTATTTTATATAATGATGATAAGGATGATAGATTTGTGTAAGGGTTCATCCAATTTTCAGACTCACATTTTTTCTGCTTTCATATTTTTTGTTCTGAACAAATGCCTTTAATATGTTTTGGCATGAAATCTCCTCTGCTGCCTGTTCTGTTTAAACAAAATATGTCGGTGGTTTGCTTCCAGAATCTTTTGGCTTTTGATCACACAAGTGTCACAACAAGAAGATATCCAGGGATCTTTCTTGGTTTTGAAAAAGAGGATATTACCAGATCATCAATATCCTTTTTGGCACATGACACAGACACAGAACTTCCAGCATGTCTCTGGATGAAGCTGCAAGCCACCATGTTGTCCATGTTGACACAAAAAACAAGGATCTACAGTACTTTAGTACAGGATTCAACACTGTTTATTTGGTGCTAATCCACTAAATAAACAGAGGCAGCTTAAAACCATTGTCGTTGTGACAAATATTTAGCTTTATGTAAAATTTAAATAACTCTAAACAGTGATGATTGATTCTACCCTTAAAAACATTTTACTTACCAAAAATTTTACCACTGCTACTAGGCAAAGCTAGAGGGCCTGTGCAATACTGAAACATTTCTTGAGATATTTAGAACATAGTTGCTTATGAGAGAAAACATGCTGATTAAAATAATCCAAATTTAATACAGATAGTTAATGACATTACATTAGACATCAGACGGATAACAAAGTAAATGTATATCTATGTAATATTGTTTTAGACTTAAATCCATAGTTTATGACTCCATCTTGTGGCACTTTTGTGTCAATACAAGTAACCCTATTGAGATTGCGTGTACCTTGTGTTCCTCAGAATGATTTATTTTTTGGCACAGTCTTGTCAAGGAATTTTTATTGCTCCTGGAAACGGAAATATGCTGAGAAGTTTGTCACACATTTTTAATATCTATTTATTTTAGTTTATATTCAGCTAACCTCCTTGTTAGGTTGTATTTTAACAAGCTACTTCATTTGTTTTTGTATGTGTCAATAATCAACACCCTGAAACCTCAGACCATTCAGCCTTCATATTGTATAACTGTGAGGCTGCCATCTCTTATTATTTTCCTCATCAATATATAGAAAGATTATTCTCTCTAATAATCATTTGACGACTCAGTGCAGCTATATTTTAGGAAACAGGGAAACCGATTGGAAACAGTCATGGGCATCTGGAATAAAAATGATTTTTACATTTGAATGCCATTCAAATGTTTGGCATTGTTCTGCTTTTTCTTTAATAATTGAAGATGGAAAACAATAATTTATCATAATATCAGCCTTGATTAATCAAGTAGTCTCTTTGCCTCAACCATGGACTTGTGCTTGTTTTCTAAGTTTCTGGGGACATAATGTACTGAGGCTTATTAATTTCTTTAAATACCATATATTGTTGTCAAATGTATACTTCAATAAAAAGCAAACAAAGAAACAAATAAACAAAATACACAAAATACACTTCCTCCTTTCCTTCTGCAGGAAGTATTAAAAGTAGGCGTTTACAGGAAGTACTGAGGATTTTGCCTCAAAATAAAAGCATAACAGCCACTTCCTAAAGAAATAGAGAAAACACCACTCACCCGAACAACAGTAAACATATGTTCGTAAAGTAAGTGAAAAACAATTATGATGACTTTTTTCATCCTGTAATTTTACACTATACGCGTGCAATTAAGGGATCAATATTGTTATTTTGAAATTCAACCGGAAGCCCTTCTGGTCGCCCGTTAGAGTGGGAGCTGATTAATCGCCATCGGCCGACGCCTTCCCTCAGAACTGGAAGCTCGGTGAGTAAAAAACAAACATCACACATCAAATCAACGCGTTGAACCAAGTGATCTGACTCCAGACGTTCCTACTTTATCTCGACACAACTGTTTCTTATGTGGAATCTTTGACTCGCGAACGGAGAAGCAGAAACATCTCGGGCGAAGTTTTGCGTGGAATGGCGGTGAATGTGTCGAGAGGGAAGTTCAGACTTGAGTTCTCTGACAGCGTCTGTACAGTCAGGGAGAAGTAAACACACGCCTGGAGAACGCTGCTTTATTTGTGCGGTTGTTAAAAAGAAAAAGGTCTGAGAGCCAGGCTGCTGTTACTGTAAATCTGGAGATGTCTGGATGTACAGGTCACCATTACAAAACTGCACGTACGCCTCTTGAAGCCAGATGTCTCTGATTAAAACCACTGTTGTGCTCCTGCTTGTAGTTTCCACTGTGGTGTTGTTTCATGCTTTTTTATTTTTTTTTATTCTACAAAGAATCCATTTGATAGGATCTAGTTATATTAACCTTAAGGACAAAGTACCAGGTTTATCATAATCTGAGATAAACACAAAAGCTACATGTCAGTGGAGGCCTCAAGTGTGCACACAACCACATCTAATACATAAGAAAACGAGTGGAAAAGTTGTGATTCATTACAAATTCAAGTTTAAGTTGCTAACTGGACCCAGGAGTTCCAACAAGAACAGTTATCATGTTCACGTCATGTTTTCTAATAATGATCTGCTTAATCTCACGTTATTATTGTTTATTAGCTCCTTAATTAATCCTTTATAAGCTCCCATCAGATGTCATTCCTTACAACAGGTATAATGTTGAAAGCGAGTTCTGCTGCTTCTTTGCATCGCACATACAGAACAGCACATACCAGACCTGTTTTGGCCCAGAGTCAAACTCCTGGTCTGCATTTACAGCTAAGCAGCTATGGCCTGGGTCCATTCTTCAGAGAGAAACATGTGGTGTCCTGTTAGTGCAGACGTCGTATTCCCTTTTCATCTGCAAAAAGTATATGTATACTCTAGTGTGAGCGTGTGTGTGTGTAAAAGGAAAGTGGCAATGCATGTTTTGAAGAATTTTACACATTATGTATGTTTAATATAGGACCATCTGCAACCTTATTTTCATTATTCCATCCTCATATTATTTTCTGGAATCAATACTTCACCCTTTTGTCTATTTTCTGTCAAAAAGCAATAATAAGTCAAAATAGTTTCGGGCTGTCACACCTTCCCGTTTTATGCATAGACTGTAAATAAAGATGGACTGCATATCTCCACTTCCTCCCGCTACACAAAAATGATGCCGCCATCTAGTGCATTTGGAGCCAGAGTTTGGAAGTAGCGATCTAAGGAAGGTGCCGCAGTAATAAAATAAATAAATGGCTCGACCAATCACGACTCAGGCTCAGCTGTCAATTGGGATGTTTCACCCTGTTTTTATAGCATCAAATAACAAATTAAAACCAAACTTATCAGAAGCAACTACCTATATTATTTTAAGTCATGCCTGATCCACTAACATGGAGGAGGCAGGATTTAAGGTCTTTGTTGCAGCCAGCCACTAGGGGGCGATTGAGACACTTTGGCTTCACTTTAGGAAGCTCTCAGGATATCCATCTTTATAAACAGTCTATGGTTTTATGTTATGTCTGACCAACGGTTCAAACAAGCAACGTTTTAGATTACATCTGTGGGAATGGATGTTAAAAAATTTGCATCCACACTGAGTCATGGTCTTTATTATTTACCACAGTGAAATCTGTTTCCTCAACCAGTCATTTAGACTTTATTTGTGAAGCACATTAAATACAAACACACGTAATGCTTGACAGAATAAAAGCAGTAAAAACTTCTCCCACCTCAATCTATGCACAGAGCAGAACAGCATTAACCGAAACTGAGGAAACACCATCGTAAATCTCATGAAAAGAGGAAACACCAAAAGCAGGCAGGCAGATGTAGATAAAATAATGAAATACTGAAAGAGAAGTGAAAAGGAGAAAAGCTCATTGTAGTAGATAGTGATGAGAAAAAGGGAAGTTGATGTAAACAGACAGGTATGACTCAACAGCATAAATGGCCCTTGAACATGCA